AGTTTTAATTGAAGACAATCACAGTAAGGTATTTAATTTTTACCCAGAAATTATTCGATATTGAGATAAAAACGGCTGCATTTGACCTTTAACAACTCCATATGGTTTAGCACCTACCTAGTTTGAATTGCAAACAGCCCCTTTGGATTAACAACCCCTTCCCACCACTCCCAGTTTGCCGGTTACACACCAATATGTATAAAAGGGTGTACAGCTGCTAAAAACAGAAGAATAAGGATCTGTTTGAATGGAGGTCATATAGTAATGACCTTTTTTAAAGGTAAAATACTGTGTATTCTTTGTGAAAATGGCTTTACATTGATAATTACCAAATTACAGAATGTTCTATTATTTTTTATAATGACAACCCTTATCACAGACTGTCACTATAGAGGTCCTATAATTCAATGTATTATTATGTAATAACACTTCATCCAAAGGATCCACATGTTAACATGTACATTGAGGAAAAACATTTTGAACCCAAATAGATTAAAACATCTTTGATGTTATATTTGCTTTTTATCTTTAATTATTTCCACTTTTCAGTATGACGACCTTAACCAGTTTATAGCCTACCAAGAGCCTTACCAAAATATTTTAGTAGCTTAAGTCTTGATATATGTACCATACACAACATGGAAAAAAATATTTGATTGAATGATCAAGTATAAACTATAAACTTAAAGCATCATTATGACAATTTTTTATCGAATGTGGTATGCAGTGCATTCGTAAAGTATTCAGACCCCTTCACTTTTTCCAAATGTTGTTACGTTACAGCCTTTTCTAAAATGGATTAAGTAAAAACATGTCCTCATTAATCTACACGCAATACCTCATAATGACACATTTATTAAAAATAAAAACAGAAATACCTTATTTACATAAGTATTCAGACCCTTTGCTATGAGACTCGAAATTGAGCTCAGGTGCATCCTGTTTCCATTTATCATCCTTGAGATGTTTCTAAAACTTGATTGGAGTCCACCTGTGGTCAATTTAATTGATTGGACATGATTTGGAAAGGTACACACCTGTCTATATAAGGTCCCATTGTTGACAGTGCATGTCAGAGCAAAAACCAAGCCATGAGGTCGAAGGAATTGTCTGTAGAGCTCCGAGACAGGATTGTGTCGAGGCACAGATCTGGGGAAGGGTGGCAAAAAAAATCTGCATTATTGAAGGTCCCCAAGAACACAGTGGCCTCCATCATTCTTAAATGGAAGAAGTTTGGAACCGCCAAGACTCTTCCTAGAGCTGGCCGCCCAGCCAAACTGAGCATTCGGGGGAGAAGGGCCTTGGTCAGGGAAGTGACCAAGAACCCAATGGTCCCTCTGACAGAGCTCCAGAGTTCCTCTGTGGAGATGGGAGAACCTTCCAGAAGGACAACCATCTCTGCAGCACTCCATCAATTAGGCCTTTATGCTAGAGTGGCCAGACGGAAGCCACTCCTCATTAAAAGGCACATACCAGCCCGCTTGGAGTTTGGCGAAAAGCCCCTAAAGGACTCTCAGACAATGAGAAACAAGATTCTCTGGTCTGAGGAAATACATTTGCTAAAATTTATAAAAACCTGTTTTTGCTTTGTCATTATGGGGTATTGTGTGTAGATTGATGAGGGGGATTTTTTTTTAAAAAAAAATCTATTTTAAAATAAGGCTGTAACGTAACAAAATGTGGAAAAAGTCAAGGGGTCTGAATACTTTCCGAATGCTCTGTATATATTGTAAGCCTAATGTGATAACTATACTGAACAAAAATATAAACGCAACATGTAAAGTGTTGGTCCCATGTTTCATGAGCTGAAATTAAATATCCCCAAAATTTTACATACGCACAAAAAGCGTATTTCTCTCAAATGTTGTGCACAAATTTGTTTACATCCCTGTTAGTGAGCATTTCTTCTTTGCCAAGATAATCCATCAACCTGACAGGTGTGGCATGTCAACAAGCTGATTAAACAGCATGATCATTACACAGGTGCACCTTGTGCCTAATATGAACTGTAACTCAGTAAAATCGTTGAAATTGTTGCAAGTTGTGTTTATATTTTTGTTCAGTATAGAAAGAGCCAAAGCTAAACATTTGAGCTGTTTTCCCAGTCACAGTTTACACCTAGTTATAGACAATGGTGGAAAAAGTTCCCAATTGTCATACTTGAGTAAAAGTAAAGATACCTTAATAGAAAATGACTCAAGTAAAAGTGAAAGTCACCCAGTAAAATACTACTTGAGTAAAAGTCTAAAAGTATTTGGTTTTAAATATACTTAAGTGCCAAAAGTAAACGCAGTTGCTCAAATATAGTTAAGTATCAAAAGTCTAACTACAAATAATTAAAAATGTCCTTACATTTAGCAAACCAGACGGCACATTTTTCTTGTTTTTTATTTCTTTAAGGATAGCCAGTGTCACACTCCAACAATCAGACATAATTTATAAACAAAGAGGCAGGGATGACCAGGGATGTTTTCTTGATACCTGTGTGAATTGGACCATTTTCTGTCCTGCTAATTATTCAAAATGTAACAAGTACTTTTGGGTGTCAGGGAAAATGTATGGGGTAAAAAGTACATTATTTTCTTTAGGAATGTAGTGAAGTAAAAGTAAAAGTAGTCAAAAATATAAATAGTAAAGTAAAGTACAGATACCCCAAAAAACTACTTAAATAATACTTTAAAGTATTTTTACTTAAGTACTTTCACCACTGGTTATGGACTAAAAAACACGTCCAGGGTCGGTCCAGGGCTATGCCAGAGTGGAAGAGGCGAAGTGAGAGGTTTTACTCCGTCCGAAATCTGTCCACAAAAAATAAGCCCACGAAGTGAGGAATTTTTGTATGGAGGTCAATGAAAGAGATTGTCGCATTTGGTCAACAAAATATGTAATTGCTAATTTGCTACGTGAGGCTTACTTGATCGAATATAAGTTTTGTAATGGTTAGGTTGTTACGACGAATGCACTGATATAAGTGTACGCACGTGGCATTTCGGCAACTATGAAAAATAAGAAATGTAAATAGGAGTTGTGCCTGTAGTCATAGAGATAGATAGAGGACTCATCATGGATATAACATGCCATTGCCATTGAGGGCTTCGACCATTTTGAATTCCTCGACTGGGTGTGGATCCCTATGAGTTGGGAGCATTCAACCAATGAAGTAGAAGAAAACGGACTACTTTAAAATGAAGATAGCCGCATTGGCACTGCCCACGCTGTCACAGACGCTATAAGAGCACAGATACAAAGATGAGTCCTCTATCTATCTCTATGGCCTGTTGTTCACATGTGTATCTGCCCTCTCATTGGCTAGAATGGTCCCACCTGATCTCGCCTCCTCCCGCCTGCCTTCCATCTTTGAGGACATGTATTTCCATTGTTAGAGTGGTCAATCAACTATCTTGTCAATATATTAGACAATCTTTAACTGTGCTTAATCTGTGTCCGGGAACTGCGCCGTTATCATTTGGGCTGCGTTCAGTACAAAAAAAAAGGTGTGCAACGTTCAGTTAAACGGAAACGGTGCTGTTCTGTACGACCAGTTGAAAAACGGGAGGGGTTTGGTTGTGGGTTCAAAACGCACCGCTTCCATTTAAATACGCATACGTCACTCATTACGTACGTCAAGCCACACTCCGACACACCCACCAAACATACCTCAAAGTCTGTTCAAGAATGTTGACGAACGTTTTGGGGAAACGTGTCGTTCAGCACTAACCGTCACGCAACGTAGCAAATGTTGACTCGAACTGAACACACCCCTGGGAAACTGTGTCCCTGGCTGTCCATGAGTGTTTGGTCCTTTGGCATTGCTTAGGTTTTACTACCATCTGCTGGTTGAAACATATCTGCACATTATTCAGATTTTCCTCTTGAGTTTGAACATTAATTTATGTAACCTTGGATTGTAGTGAACATCTTTCGGTGAGTGTGACTTCCTCTCTTAATCTTTATATGTGGAAATATGTTATAGTTAATTCTAAACTCTACATATAACCACATTTCTTAATAGCACTTTAACCATTCAGAAAAGGCCTCAATCCGAACCACAATATATGAATTAACCAAAACCCAACCTAATCACAGCATCATTTTAATCTGGAATAAAAAAATAAAATAAAAAACGGCCCTGAATCAAATAAGTGCGATCAATATCTCTTTAAATAGGCTATACATAAGTTGCTAGCTAATTGTGAACCTTCAATGTTGGCCTTAGTATTGCCTGCATGTTTCATTAACTCATAAAATCAGTAGTTTTATGCTAACAGTAGAGCCCCACAGTGGAGGTGTCATATTACCCATTAAACCAAGTGGTCAAACATTCATTTTTCCGATAGGGGATGTTAGAAAAACTTAAAATAAAGGCTGTGTTTTGTGTAGGCTTACCCTGGCGTGACGTTTTGATAATCATGTAAATCTCTCTCGGACAATGTGACTTTTATCAATATATTCGGCTCTATTTACTCTCAGATTTGAAAATGCTAATTAGCATCAAAGTAGACTTCCTGCAAGTTTACAAATCCCTGCAAATTCCAGCACGTCATCTCTAGCTGACACCTTTGCCAACAGGTATTGTGTCAATTTAAAACTTGCACAAGACAGTTCACAGAATTGTCAATTTAAAGAAATGTAGCTAATTTATTAATTACTACATTTAGCTAAAATCTGATAGTTAATCCAGAGATTCATACCTTTGCCTTGATTCGGCAGTCTGTCCAGATCATCATGGCATTTGTAGTTCTTTATGATAGCCACATTAGCAGCTAATTAGCATTTCATTTTTATTATTATTTTTTTTTTTTTGGGGGGGGGGGGGGGGGGGTAAATACAGGCAAATATATTGATAAAAGTCACCTTGTCCTAGAGAGATTTACACAGCCCTTATTTTAAGTGTTTATAAAACCCCCTATGGGAAAAATTAATGGTGGAACATTTGTTGGAACCATTTCAATGTTTGACCGCTAGGTTTTATGGGTATTATGACTCATACTGTGGTACTCTATATACTGTAACTTTTGCTCATGTGCATGGGGAGGTGTGCCCCTTTCTATCCAATGAGATAATCTGGACAGTGGCCTCTTTTGGATCAATAGCACCCCCAGAAGCAAAAATTCCTTACAGACTTTAATCGTGGTGTTCTTTGCACAAGGTAGTATATTTATGCATATACTTTGGCAGTGTTAGGGTTAGTTTGACACCTATGGCACTGGCAGACCTATTTACTGCCCTAATTTATTTAGCATATTTAAGTAGCCTGCAGGCTACTCAAAATGTAGGCTGTCATTGAAAACAATACTGCATTTAAAATTTGTCTCTTTGCAAGGACAGGCAAGAAATTGGTCATGTAGTCTAGGAATTACCCATATTTTCTGTCTCCATTTGAGGAGTAGCCTAATTTTGGTAAGAGTCCATGTTCTCAATGTCGCTCTCCTTTTTAAATTAATACATCCACTATTGAGGACGTTTTTTTTAGTTATTATTATTAACACACTCTCTAAGGACTACAGTGACAGCTTCTCGACGTTGGGATTTAGGTTTTGTACCTGTATTCTTGCGCTGATCTACACATTTTTGTGCATGAGGCACCGTTTCCAGGCCTTATCCTTTTCTTTAATTATTTATTTACGTGTAAACTGCAGTCTTGCTATCAATACATTGATGGTCGATAATTCCCATCTCTGTTGAGGGCCGAACTAAAACACCTTAATTTATTTTCATCTCAAATTGGAGTAGGCCTACACACAGTCATTATGGCCCGTCCACGGCCGCGGGAGTACAAGGCAGGAGATTTGGTTTTTGCGAAGATGAAGGGATACCCACACTGGCCAGCGAGGGTGAGTAGGTGATGCAGCCGAGCTGAAAAGCAGGGAGGCGGGGTTGCCTGAGACAATACCGCCGATGCTTTGGGATATATGCGATGGGCTCTTGCCGCCACCTTCTTCACCATGCTTGTTCGTCTTTTGCAGTAAAGTGCTTAGTTCACAGTGCACCTACCTTCATCACATATACAGCTATTGCAGCTCGCTATTTTGATACACTGCAAACCACAAGAACCAGTAATTCTTATGTTTACCATTGTTGACATTTTCCCTGTGTTTCTCAGTCAGGAAATGAGGGCGCTATTGTATAGTGTGCTACTATGTCTATTTTTGAATCCGTCTCTTCCTTACGTACGGTTTTTTCTTTTCATTTTCCACATTCCACAAATTACCTTGAATTCAAAGATGTTGCAATTGTATAGGCCTGTAGAGTAATTAGCTACTGTAGCAACTCACCGATTTGGTATAGCCTACTAGAGCTAGCCTTTATAGTCAGTCAGACTTGACCTGAGGTAACCGGGTGAGCGTGAGCCCTTTCCAGCAACAATGTTACATTGTAAGCGTTCTGATTACACCTTTGCACTCAAGTGTTCTAGTATCTGCAACATTGTTTCAAGATACTGACACTTTATACTCTTGTTTCTGTTGTTTGGAATATGTAGCCAACATACAGCATTGAAGATATGATAGTACAGTTTACTGAAATATTAAAGTGTGTCAACAATGCAGTTCACATACACTGTTGCAGTTTGTATTATGAGTTCATTTTGAAAGATGATCTCATGAACAGATGCATCTGATTTGAGTGTTATAACAGTCTCTCTCTCTCTGTCTCTGTCTCTGTCTCTCTCTGTCTCTCTCTCTCTCTCTCTCTCTCTCTCTCTCTCTCTCTCTCTCTCTCTCTCTCTCTCTCTCTCTCTGTCTCTGTCTCTGTCTCTGTCTCTCTCTCTCTCTCTCTCTCTCTCTCTCTCCATCACCCCCCCATTAGATTGATGAACTTCCAGAGGGAGCCGTCAAGCCACCTGCTAATAAATATCCCATCTTCTTCTTCGGCACGCATGAAACGTACGCCAAAACACTACTATTTTGTCCCAAATGGCATCCTATTCCCTATGTAGTTCACTACCTTTGACCAGAGCCCTATGGGGTAAGTAGTGCACTACATAGGGAATACGTAATTTGGGACACATCCACACCTTTTCTTTGCAACTTCTTTGTATCAATACCTATTTTGTTGATAAGCAGATTACCAAAAGCATCTCCTGTGGCCATTTGTATTACACTGAGGCCTATGGTATTACACTGAGGCCTATGGTATTACACTGAGGCCTATGGTATTACACTGAGACCTATGGTATTACACTGAGGCCTATGGTATCACACTGAGGCCTATGGTATCACACTGAGACCTATGGTATTACACTGAGGCCTATGGTATTACACTGAGACCTATGGGATCACACTGAGGCCTATGGTATCACACTGAGACCTATGGTATTACACTGAGACCTATGGTATTACACTGAGACCTATGGTATCACACTGAGGCCTATGGTATCACACTGAGGCCTATGGTATCACACTGAGACCTATGGTATTACACTGAGACCTATGGTATCACACTGAGACCTATGGTATTACACTGAGGCCTATGGTATCACACTGAGGCCTATGGTATCACACTGAGACCTATGGTATCACACTGAGACCTATGGTATTACACTGAGACCTATGGTATTACACTGAGGCCTATGGTATCACACTGAGACCTATGGTATTACACTGAGACGTATGGTATCACACTGAGGCCTATGGTATTACACTGAGGCCTATGGTATCACACTGAGGCCTATGGTATCACACTGAGACCTATGGTATTACACTGAGACCTATGGTATTACACTGAGGCCTATGGTATCACACTGAGGCCTATGGTATCACACTGAGGCCTATGGTATTACACTGAGGCCTATGGTATCACACTGAGACCTATGGTATTACACTGAGACCTATGGTATTACACTGAGACCTATGGTATCACACTGAGACCTATGGTATCACACTGAGACCTATGGTATTACACTGAGGCCTATGGTATCACACTGAGACCTATGGTATCACACTGAGACCTATGGTATCACACTGAGACCCATGGTATTACACTGAGACCTATGGTATCACACTGAGACCTATGGTATCACACTGAGACCTATGGTATCACACTGAGACCTATGGTATCACACTGAGGCCTATGGTATCACACTGAGACCTATGGTATTACACTGAGACCTATGGTATTACACTGTTATAACACTGTATTATAGTGATCAGCAGATTATATAGGCCTATTATAACTGGGTGGTTCGAGCCCTGAATGCTGATTGGCTGACAGCTGTGGTATATCAGACCGTATACCACGTGTATGACAAAACATCTATCTTTACTGCTCTAATTACGTTGGTAAACAGTTTCTAATAGCAATATGGCACCTCGGGGGGTTGTGGTATATGGCCAAAATAGAGAACTGCAATACTGCCGGTCTTTCACGCTCAACAGTTTCCCGTGTGTATCAACAATGGTCCACCACCCAAAGGACATCCAGCCAATTTGACACAAATGTGGGAAGCATTGGAGTCAACATGGGCCAGCATCCCTGTGGAACGCTTTCAACACCTTGTAGAGTCCATGCCCCGATGAATTGAGGCTGTTCTGAGGGCAAAAGGGTGCAACTCAATATTAGGAAGGTGTTCTTAATGTTTGTACACTCAGTGTATATGCAGAATTCCTAGACCAAAAAAAACGATTGTGAAATAATACAAGAACGTTACTTTGGACGTTACTTTGGACATCAACTCAATAGTATGAAGGTGTTCTTAATGTTTTGTACACTCAGTGTAAGTTACATTTTTGTGATGACAAACTAATGTTAGTGGTTTGGTACTGGTCATGTTGGCCTTACTTTTCACCATCTGTTGCACCACAGTGCCTTCCTGGGCCCCAGGGATCTCCTACCATACAACGAGTACAAGGACAAGTTTGGAAAGTCCAACAAGAGGAAAGGTTTCAACGAGGGTCTGTGGGAGATCGAGAACAACGCAGGGGTCAAATTCACCGGCTATCAGGTCAGTCGTGCTCCTCAGTCCATTTTTGTGGATTGACCGGCACATACAGAAGTATACAAAAGTAATCAAGATATGTGGACCGTGCATTCTGACTAGCAGTTATAACTTGTAAGCCAAACTCATAACTAATAACTTATAAGCCATCAGCAACAAGGACACACACACACACACCAGAGTTGTATCTTAGTTGCTGATGTCTTATAACTGCTTGTCTGAGTCCAGTGTTCACATATTATGGGCTGCTGCTTGACTTTGGTGTAGTCATCTCCTGGAGAGTTTGTTATAGAAGAGATTTCTATTTTATTTGTTTTGTTGTTAATATGTTCTCAGTTGATCTCAATAGCACATCAGTGAATAACGTCTGCTCACTGTACTGTTCTGTAAATTTTTCTCATATCACTATGAAGCCAAAGGTATATTTTCCACTTCTTTTGGACAATAAAGTTGTATTCTATTCTACTCTATTCTATGTTCTCAGGCTATCCAGCAGCAGAGTTTTTCCAAGACGGAGGGAGAAGGAGGAAACGTGGCAGACGGGAGCAGTGAAGGAGAGGAGGGAGATTCCATAGAGGAGGTGGAAGATGACAAAGTCAAACTGAAGGAAGACCGGGCCGGGTCCAAACGGAAAAAGACGGCCTCCTCTAAGGTACAGGTTATCACAAACGAGTTATCAGACTCTAACCTGTTATTACACTCTATCACACTCTAAACCTGTATAACTCAACCCTAGTCCTGGATGTGTTAGTGCTGGGCTATAAAAAAGCCTGCACAGCCTGTGGGTCCCCAGGAACAGGGTTGAAGAACACTGGCTTAACCTAAGTGTCACGATGGTCTTGGGCGTGTTATGATTTTTTTTAGTATGAGATGGTTGCCAACAGGGTCATTTCAGGGGCATCTCTAAGGGTGCATCTCAAAACTCTCAAGAGGCTTCCTCTCCTTGCCTCCTCTCCTTCATCTGCACTGACCAGACAAGGTGAAAGCAATATAATGGATGCCTTCCAACCAGATATCTGTCTTCACCTGTTTAGTAATGTCAGCTAAATGAAGCAAAGGATAAAATGAGAGGAAGCCACGTTAGACTATTGAGCTCTATCTCTAGTCTCTCTGGAGCTATAGCTAACCTATAGGTTAAAGGTGAGAGGTCAGAGTGCAGGTGCTTATGTTCAGGGGAGCAGTAAGGGGGGGGGGGGGGGTACAATCACTCACAGCTTGCTGTTGTAGGCTATCACAAGCACCTGTCACTACCCATGTTATAGCCTACTGTTACATTTCATTCCAAGTTGTCAGCTAATCTTGAAAAAGACAGATTATGAAGTCAACTAGGAGGGTTGAGAAACACTGATAGTTCCATTTGAATGGTGTTTCATTCATAAGGACAACACAAAGCCTATCGGCCTATATAGAGGCGGGGAGGTTGTAGGTAATGTTACTGTGGTGTCGATTCAGGCCTGGGTTGAAAAAAGTCACCCACAGCCCCCTCCACCCTGTCCTCGCTTAGCAACCACTGTTGCCTAGCAACTGGGCTCCATTACGCACATCTATTGGATGGAATGTAACATTCCAGAAGACCGACCTCAGCCTCTCAAATTGGAATGGTCTAACTCATACTTACATTACACAGATGGCAATTTTCTTGCTTTAGTCCTTCAAAGCGCTGGCTATGCTTTTACTGTTTTGTTTCTCAGTGCAAATACAGCTGTTATGTTTAAGCGCACACAGCATTTGACCTGTGTTCTTTATATGTGTAGTGTGGTGTAGTGAAAGGGAACAGATCAACATCACACACTGAGTTGAACTGAGCTACAAGGTCATGCAGAGCAGATGTTATGTTAATACATTATGATACACTAACAGGGATGTTATGTTAATACATTATGATACACTAACAGGGATGTTATATTAATACATTATGATACACTAACAGGGATGTTATGTTAATACATTATGATACACTAACAGGGATGTTATGTTAATACATTATGATACACTAACAGGGATGTTATGTTAATACATTATGATACACTAACAGGGATGTTATGTTAATACATTATGATACACTAACAGGGATGTTATGTTAATACATTATGATACACTAACAGGGATGTTATGTTAATACATTATGATACACTAACAGGGATGTTATGTTAATACATTATGATACACTAACAGGGATGTTATGTTAATACATTATGATACACTAACAGGGATGTTATGTTAATACATTATGATACACTAACAGGGATGTTATGTTAATACATTATGATACACTAACAGGGATGTTATGTTAATACATTATGATACACTAACAGGGATGTTATGTTAATACATTATGATACACTAACAGGGATGTTATGTTAATACATTATGATACACTAACAGGGATGTAGATCTTTTCTATCAGATTTGAGGTAATGAGGACAATGACCTGATGAAGCCTGACTGGGGGTTGGTTGAAACATTATTAGCCATGCTCATTTATTCAGATACCTTACAGAACATTTTGGAACCAAATATTATAAAAAAATGTATCCAGTCCAGAGAATAATGGATGCATTAATTAAACTTCATTAAATACTTACTTTATTGTTCAATGAGGCGCTCTGTTTACCACATATTGCAAGACTGCAAATCATCTCTCTGAAATGTAATGAAATAATTATTGATACAGTATCATGGAGTCTAGCTATCCACTAGCTAAGCACGTCCATGTAGTGTTGCATGAGTGCTGATCTGACAAATAAGCACCTCATCACTACCCGCACACAACAGCCCCCTGGTTACAACGTCCCCAGGAAGGAGTTGTCCTCAATAGGTTCAGAACTGGCCATGGCACATGCCTCGCCAACTTCCACCGATGGGGCATAAAAGCAAGCTATGGCCTGTGGGGTGGAGCAAACCATGCACCACATTCTTTGCATTCACTAAATAAATAAATAGAGCTGATCTGTGTGTGTTGTCCCCAGAAGTCGTCCAAGCTGTCCAGGATCTCGTCTGGAGAGGAGGATCTGGAGGACGGGAAAGAGGAGGATCAGAAGAGCGGATCAGAGGGGGGAGACCCCGATAACGGCATCATCCAGAACACCACTGACAGCAAGGTGAGCCGCCCAGGGGGGATAACAGGGTTGGGGACAATTCTAATTAATGTCAGTCAAATCAGGAAAGGATTTGAATTTAAATTAAAAATAAATAGGTTCTCCTTTTCAATTTATTGAGAAGTCATTGAAAATATATGAAAGTTTTACAACAATTAAGTCGGAATTTCAGTCTACTTGACTGTCTTCAATTTGAATTGACCCCAACCCTGGTGGATGTAGCCTGATCCCAGATCTGTTTGTATGGTTGGCGTGACATTGACCCTAGTTGACAAGACATTGCTGACACATTTCAGTCACAGATATGTTTATTCCTTCCTTAGTACCACAAAGTGATAGTGTGGAAAGATCAACACTTGATTACTAATTTATTTGATTTAGCAAAGATTAAAATGGAGCTGAAAATGTTGCAGATATTGTTCATTCAATGCACAAATACTGACACCAGGGGGCATGGTAGCAAAATAATTGTTCAGATTCTGTTTGACATCTTGTATCATTCAAACAGCATTATTATGTCACTTCATTGTGTCCTGTGTCACTGTTAGATACATGTTTCTTATGAGTATTCTAATTCTTTAAAAGGATATTTTTCATTTACATTATTTCTGCCTTCTCTTCCAGAACCAGTTGCTGAGAGAAGAACATTAGGTGCCGTGGACACCTGCAGACGGAAGGGAAGGTATTCATTGTTGCTGTCATGTGAAATTGGAACGGTCAAACTCCCATCATCACCACCTCTAGCACGTCCTGTAATGGGCCATTCACTTCTAACTCTATGTAAAAAATAACATACATCTACGACAGTATATCACTAAATCTGTACAATTCTGCTTCAGGCCAACAGACTCACACCCAGGCTAGACTACAGCCAAAGTAACTAGCTTCAAAACCACACACACACACTTGTGTCCTCGTCTCGTCGAAATCAGAACACCACATTTAATATCCAAACAGTGTAAAATAAGCATAAATCGATATTTATATTGACCCTTAGCCTCCACTATCTGATTAATCCATCAATGATGTCATAGAGGTAAACATGTTAGCTATGTTTGATAAAAATTATATGAATATACAGTCTAATATACTCCCTTGTGGTCTATGATGATTGATATATGTTGGGTATTGCAGTGTTGTGATCATACTAGTTGTATCTTGGATTTGCTTTTCTAAAACAATGGTTTAAGGGGAGGGACTAGCTTATGGTTGCAAAATTCCGGTACATTTTCAAAAATGTCCAGTTTTCCAGAAATCCTGGTTGGAATATTCCTGTAATCAGGAGGGAATAAGCAGTACATCCGGGGATCATACGACTGGAATTTATGGGAAACCTGGGATTTTGGGGAAAGTTACTGGAAATTTGTGTTTAACTGACTGTATAACATTATCCATATCACTCAGCACTGTATGTAACCTTCAAAAAATGAATGGAAAAATACATAGATAAATGTACGAAGTGTTGTGCACAAATCGAGTTACACATTGTAACTCTGTATAACTCTGTAACTCTCTATCTATATATTTTACTTTGGCTGTAGAATATAGGGCCAATATTCTACCTGACTCCTCTAGCTAACTACTCGTCTGCATCCCAAATGGAACCCTATTCCCTACATACTGTAGTGCACTACGCTGCCTTCATCTTTCTATGGGAAGTGATGAATCGGTTTTAACGTGTGTCAGTAGAATGGGTTATGGTATATTTTAAAAGCTTTTTATAGTGGCATGCTCAACTGTTGTACACAACTACCTAGTTATTTTCTCAACGTTTTCAATTATACTGAACAAAAATGTAAACGCAACATGTAAAGTGTTGGTCCCATGTTTCATGAGCTGAAATAAAAGATCCCAGAAATGTTCCAATGCACAAAAAGCTTATTTCTCTCAAATGTTGTGCACAAATTTGTTTACATCCCTGTTAGTGAGCATTTCTCCTTTGCGAAGATAATCCATCTACCTGACAGTTGTGGCATATCAAGAAGCTGATTAAACAGCATGATCATTACACAGATGCACCTTGTGCTGGCGACAATAAAAGGGCACTCTAAAATGTGCAGTTTTGTCACACAACACAATGCCACAGATGTTGCAAGTTTTGAGGGAGCGTGCAATTGGCATGCTGACTGCAGGAATGTCCACCAGAGCTGTTGCCAGAGAATTGAATGTTCATTTCTCTACCATAAGCCGCCTCCAACGTCATTTTAGAGAATTTGGCAGTACATCCAACCGGCCTCACAACCGCAGACCACTTGTAACCATGCCAGCCCAGGACCTCCACATCCGGCTTCTTCACCTGCGGGATCGTCTGAGACCAGCCACCCGGACAGCTGATGAAACTGAGGAGTATTTCTGTCTGTAATAAAGCCCTTTTGTGGGGAAAAACTCATTCTGATTGGCTGGGCCTGGCTCCCCAGTGGGTGGGTCTGGCTCCCAAGTGGGTGGGCCTATGACCTTCCAGGCCCACCCATGGCTGCGCCCCTGCCCACTCATGTGAAATCCATAGATTAGGGCCTGCTGAATTTATTTCAATTGACTGATTTCCTTATATGAACTGTAACTCAGTAAAATCATTGAAATTGTTGCATGTTGCATTTATATTTTTGTTCAGTATACCTGCTGTTTTTCCATTCACACTTCTTCCACCGTGCAGTGAAGGAGAAAATAAGACATAACACAACAATGTTTGCAAAGCACCTTTTTCAGACGATATATTGGTTTTCATCCTTCGGCATTTATGACATGTTGGAAACTCAGAAATACAAGCTTCCGAGTGAAAAGAACAACATTTGAACGGCCCTCCAAGTAATTACAAGTGGGAAACTCGGGTATCATTCCTGTGCTCTGACTTCTCCGACATGCTGACCTCTGACATGCTGACCTCTGACATCACCTACTAAGGAAATTACCTCCATAACAACATTTTCGGCAGTTAAATGCAACAACAAAACATTATCTATAAAAAAAAAACGTGCTATTTATATATTTTTTTAACACTATAATTTCTTTACAAGCTTGATAGCTGTACTTTCATTTGTGATTGATGCAGCTTGTTTGCCATTAACCAATCAGCGTTCTCAACCAGTTCAAGGCACGTGAATGCACACAACTCGTTGCTCCAAGTGTACAAGTCATATTTTCAGAGTATCCAACTTGTCATGAATGCAGCTTTAGTGTTTGGTGTAAAGTTGGCATCTGGCATGCTGGAAAATTGTGTTTTCTGCCTTGGTTCATCGTACTGTTACACACTCCCATCAACGGGATGCCAGTTGCCTTCTTTCCTTCCTATTTCTGTCTTTATGAAAAAATATATTATATTTATTTTTTGACGATAGTTGATTATAACACTGTGTGAAATGTAAACTCATACATTTTCCTTTTTTTGTTTAAACCTTTCAATCTTTGTCAATGCACGGAATTGGAACATGTTTTACATTTGAAAGGTTTGTAGTTTAAAGTAAACTGTTTTTTGCTGTTTATGGACAATACTTTTACAGAATAAACTCATTGGAATGCACTCAGTGTTTGCAAACACTGATTATTTGGATAACACAGACATCTCACACGCAAGGGCACCAAAAGAGCTAGAAAACACAAATCAGATTTTACAAATCAAGATTTCTTTCAGGTTTTTAACAATTGAAAAAATTGATTGTACACAAATATTGCATCACAAAACTAGTACTTACATTATCTTTCTAAACACCTTTAAACATCACACAATCTATGTTGATTCACCATATAGCATTTTATGACACCAAACCTCTTGTCTTATTTCAACGTAAACGTTGTAGTGCTTGACAGAACCAGAGAATACAATAAGTAATTTAGCTGAAAACACACATTTAGAACAGGGCTGTATTCATAAAATGTCCCAGACTAGGAGTGCTGCAGATCTAGGATCAGGTCCCCCCTGTCCGTATATTGTTATTCATTGCAATCTAAAAGGCTAAACTGATCCTAAATCAGCACTCCTACTCTGATGTGACGTCAGTCCCATAAAGACTAGTCACTGACAAACAGAAATGAAGAGTAAAGGTATCAAGTTTTCTTTCTATGTAAAGGAATGTTGTACCACTGGGCAGGAGATGCTTGGATGCTGTTTTTAAGTCTCATTGCTGTTGTGTTGCGGCCAGTAGAGTACAGCAGTGAGACTACAGTAGAGTACAATAGAGAGTACAGTAGTGAGTATTGAATGGACTACACTTGGAGTTGGCCAGTGCAGAACATGAAACAGTGGCCACCAGGTTATGCTAGGCAGAGAGATACTTTTGGACTGGTTTCTGTGTAGTCAGGGCCTGAGTCCGCCAGCCAGTCAGCCAGCCAGCCAGACAGATAGCCAGTCAGCCAGCTCCTTCAGTCAGTCTTCTTGTCATTGGGTTGGTCTCTGAGGAAGAAGGCAGGGCTGGTGACACAGCGGTAGCAGAGGGCTTGAGGTACGATGGCATACAGGGCGTTGACTAATAGGAAGACAATCTGGCTGTCAGCTGGTACTCTGTAGGAGAACGGCGTCCGCGTGTGGAAAGATGCACCGATGTGGGAGAACTGGGCCTGAGGAGGAGGAGAGAAGACAGAGAGAGTATAAGAACAATAAGTGGAGGAGAAAGAATGGGGGAGATAAGGGGAGAAGAAAGAGGGAGAAGATGAGGAGGAGAAAGAATGGGGGAGATAAGGGGAGAAGATGAGGAGGAGAAAGAATGAAAAAAAATGAAGGATGTGTTTTGACAATCTCAACATGACAGATGGACGATACACTAGAATAGCTGTATTTCTTGGTACGCATCTTCTATATACTGTACAAGCATACCATACATCTGCTATGAACCCTGTACCATAGCATAGACCTACACTCTCCTGAGCTGTTTACTATCAGATTCTGTCACCATCATGAGTGGAATATCTCTCCACTATCAATCTCTGTACCGGGCCTATTTCCCTGTAGCCTACTCCTGTCATTCCTAGCATGGAGTGGCATTGAAACGAGACGTATGAGTCTGTCTGTCTGTCTGCTTGTCTGTGTCTGTCTGCCTGCCTGTTTGCCTGTCAGCCTGCTTGTCTGTCTGTCTGCCTGTCTGTACACTCTCTACCTCTATATTTAGCCTGGCTAGGCAGCTGGCTTGTATACAATACCAATGTGCCTGCTGTGTCTAAAGATGGCCCCGGCTTTTGTCTCTCTTGGGACTGACAACACAGGGCAGCCTACTGGCTTCACAACAAAGCAATGGCAGCCGCTCACTGTTTTGTTTGCTTCTTCCAACCACACACGTGATCTGTAAATAAGCTTTTAGTGGTACACATACATACATTTTGACCGATCAATCAACCAAAATGTATTGTACCCAAAGGGAAATAGGTCTGCAAGCAAGGTAAACCCACCTGAAAAAGAACGTGTCAGTCCAACGTCTATCTGTATGTCACTAAAAACTGATTCAACTCATCAAGACCTGGTGTGATGATTTGTTGATCAGTTGAATCAGGTGTGTTGTTTAGGACAAGGCTGGAACAAAAGCATGCATACTGTGGGTCAGTTGCTTTAGCAAATATCACCGGTCCTTAAAGATGCATCAAAATACTGGCCATATACAGAGCGCTCCCTGAGCCCTTGTTAGAGAGAGTACCTTAGAAACCCAGGTATATATAGCACTAATCAGACTGTGTGTGAGTGTGTGTGTGTGTGTGTGTGTGTGTGTGTGTGTGTGTGTGTGTGTGTGTGTGTGTGTGTCTGTGTGTGTCTGTGTGTGTCTGTGTGTGTCTGTGCGTGTGTGCACACACTGGCCTTTGCAGTACTACAGCTTGTCCACAGGAATTCAGATGACTTAACCATGTGCAGAGCCACAGTCATTCACAGGCTTTATCTAGGACCACACTGGTATTTGTATAGGTGAAGTTTCCCCTAGGTATAGATCTAGGATCTGCTCCCCCAACCCTAACCTTGACCTATAGTGGGGAAAATGCACAACTGACCCAAGATCAGCATGTAGGATGGGACATTTCACCCTACTTATTTTTATTGCACACAGCGGGCAATTGTCACTGCTTTCTGTGCCAGAGAGAGAGAAACACTCATGCTCTGGCTATTGGCTAATATTCAATAGCTGCAATAGTTACCATAGGACATGGGTTCAAATAGTATTTGTATCACCTGTAAAACTTAAACTGAGCTTCATTGAGCTTCCCTGACAATGAAACCAATGCCATAGTCCCAAAAGTGCAAATCCCACCCATCTAGCACTCCAAGCAGGCTCAATCAAACTCTGAAAGCAATTTTAAAATAAAACAAATACTGTTTTAACCCAGGTCTACTTCCCCACCATAGAACTAGAATAAAAATAGTAATTTAATTCCAGTTATATTTCTATGCTCCCCACTCACCTGTGCTATTGCCCCAGAGTGGACCAGAGTGAGGTCAGGCATCCACTCACACCCAGGCACGAGCAGCCCGTAGAGAGCGATGATGTAGTACGGACCGGAGTAAAGCATGTTCACTATCATCTAGGACACAGCAGAGACATAGTAGGTTGCTTTTACACATGCAGCACAATTCTGATCTGTTTTCCACTAATTGGTCTTTTTTTCTCCCCAATTTCGTGGTATCCAATTGGTAGTTACAGTCTTGTCCCATCGCTGCAACTCCCGTACGGACACGGGAGAGGTGAAGGTCGAGAGTCGTGCGTCCTCCGAAACACAACCCAACCGAGCCGCACTGCTTCTTGACACAGTGCCTGCTTAACCCGGAAGCCAGCCGCACCAATGTGTCGGACGAAACACTGTACACCTGGCGACCGAGTCAGCGTGCACTGCGCTCGGCCCGCCACAGGAGTCGCTAGTGCGCGATGGGACAAGAACATCCCTGCCGGCCAAACCCTCACTTACCCTGGATGACGCTGTTGATCCACCCACTGATGTTACACCCATTGCTATTGATCCACCCACTAACATTACACCCATCGCTGTTGATCCACCCACTTATTTTGCAACGCCCACTTTCAGACACACACGTATTTAGTTACCCATACTTGTAATTAGTTGGACACTCTTAAAGGGATGGTTCATCCCTAAACCCTCAAACCTGTTGAGACATTTCCATTCCCTATTACTAAGTGATCTAAAGTCAAGCTGTCTATATTCTATGTGCTAGTCTATCTGCTGTTTAGAGAAATCAGCAGGCCTCGATCCCATATGAATGTAAAGGTTGGCACCGTCTCATCAGATCTAACGATAAGACGGTGCCACTCTTTTCCATTCATTTAGGATTAAGACCTAGGGTGACATTTTCCTCTTGCTAAGACACCTGTGCTGTGAGCTAACGCACCATAAGTGAAATTAAATTGTAACTTTTCTTTAACAATTTCCGTGAGGAAGAACTTAAGTTTAACAAGACATTTAGTATTAAACAGCGGGCCACACGCACCACACACAATGCAATCTTACCTGTATTTTAGGATAAGATGAGGGGTCCTTTAGGTAAGGCTCATATTGCTGGGTGTACTCCTGACACCACTCTGTCGGGCAGTCCAGGGCCACCTAGGACACACTGTTCAATGAGTTTTACATCAGGCCCAGTTATAAACAGCTAAATGGGCCTCACACCTTTCTTCAGCAATGAGTATAACTATAATGATGAGGTCCTTTTGTAACAGAAGCTTTTATTCAGCTCAGAGTGACATATTCAGTATTAGGTGGCCCTGGTGTGTTGACATTGGTGTTGCCAGCACCATGCTCTAACATTTTCTTCTCAGATTCTTTTTACCTTTATTTAACCAGGGAAAGACCCTTGAGGTTGGAAACCTCTTTTGCGAGGGGGACCTGGCAGTCGCCACTGTAACCCATAGATCCATTAGAAGTACAACTGGCTGGTATCTGTAGTTTGGCAACGGTTCTTACCAGGCCTCTGAAGACACAGAAAAATGTAGCGGGGACAAGGTAGATGACAAACAGAAAGTCTAGGGGCCTCTCTACCAGCGTAGTCCTCTGGGCCTCATGGATACTCTGATAGACAAAAAACAAACAAAACAACACTAACAACATCAGCGATGTCTCTCTGTTTTAATGGATAGTGATATTGCTCAAATCAAGATTTGTCGCTCGATGTATGCACACCAAAAAAGCTTTGCAGGATTGAGTGAACAAAATAAAATAAAAAATTGCTTCAGATTGAAATGCTTCAGATTGACATGAAAACATTTTGTCAAAAAATGCTTGGCCTCTGCAAGAGGAGCCAATTCCCATTGAATTGTCTAATAATATCTGGGAACATCTATTTTTACTGTGGCATCTTTAACCAAAATCCCCAGTGGTCAATCATGGTGGATGTATCATTGCTCAAACAAGTAGGCCTTTTACTGATAAATGGAGAGTGACTATGTAACACATGTTGCTCTGGGTTATGGCATGTTGACCCTTGACCCCTGACCCCTGAGTAAATTGGCCTTTCACCATTGGCGGAGCCTGACAATAACTATGTCACTTGCTGCATTGCATTACAGCATCCGGTTACAATGCAATACAGTTGCCTTGGGTTAGGCTACTGTATGACCTTTGACCCTGAAGGATTGGGCTCTTACCATTGGCCGAGCCTGTCTGGTGGAGGACTGGCTGAAGACGCGGAAGCAGGCCCACACCGACACCACGACGTAGAGCATGTGGACCAGGAACAGGGGGCTCAGCTGGGTACCATACTTCCCTGGTGGAGAGAGATCAAAAAGTATGTGTGAAAATGTAATGTTCCTCTCTGAGGACAGACAATACATGTTCTGTCTGTCTTTCTGTCCGTCTGTCCAGCCGTAAATCTCACTAGATCCGTGCTGAGACTGATTTGTATTGTGTTCAGGGATAGAGCATACAGTGAGGGAAAAAAGTATTTGATCCCCTGCTGATTTTGTACGTTTGCCCACTGACAAAGAAATGATCAGTCTATAATTTTAATGGTAGGTTTATTTGAACAGTGAGAGACAGAATAACAACAACAAAATCCAGAAAAACGCATGTCAAAAATGTTATAAATTGATTTGCATTTTAATGAGGGAAATAAGTATTTGACCCCCTCTCAATCAGAAAGATTTCTGGCTCCCAGGTGTCTTTTATCCAGGTAACGAGCTGAGATTAGGAACACACTCTTAAAGGGAGTGCTTCTAATCTCAGCTTGTTACCTGTATAAAAGACACCTGGGAGCCAGCAATCAATCAATCAGATTCCAAACTCTCCACCATGGCCAAGACCAAAGAGCTCTCCAAGGATGACAGGGACAAGATTGTAGACCTACACAAGGCTGGAATGGGCTACAAGACCATCGCCAAGCAGCTGGTGAGTGGCGCAGTGGTCTAAGGCACTGCATTGCAGTGCTAACTGTGCCACTAGAGATCCTGGTTCGAATCCAGGCTCTGTCGCAGCCGGCCGCGACCGGGAGACTCATGGGCGGCGCACAATTGCTAACACACTACGCCGTCAAGGACTGAAATCCTGCAGCACCCGCAAGGTCCCCCTGCTCAAGAAAGCACATATACAGGGCCGTCTGAAGTTTGCCATGAACATCTGAATGATTCAGAGGAGAACTGGGTGAAAGTGTTGTGGTCAGATGAGACCAAAATGGAGCTCTTTCGCATCAACTCAACTCGCCGTGTTTGGAGGAGGAGGAACGCTGCCTATGACCCCAAGAACACCATCCCCACCGTCAAACATGGAGGTGGAAACATTATGCTTTGGGGGTGTTTTTCTGCTAAGGGGACAGGACAACTTCACCGCATCAAAGGGACGATGGACGGGGCCATGTACCGTCAAATCTTGGGTGAGAACCTCCTTCCCTCAGCCAGGGCATTGAAAATGGGTCGTGGATGGGTATTCCAGCATGATAATGACCCAAAACACACGGCCAAGGCAACAAAGGAGTGGCTCAAGAAGAAGCACATTAAGGTCCTGGAGTGGCCTAGCCAATCTCCAGACCTTAATCCCATAGAAAATCTGTGGAGGGAAGCTGAAGGTTCGAGTTGCCAAACGTCAGGCTCGAAACCTTAATGACTTGGAGAAGATCTGCAAAGAGGAGTGGGACAAAATCCCTCCTGAGATGTGTGCAAACCTGGTAGCCAACTACAAGAAACGTCTGACCTCTGTGATTGCCAAAAAGGGTTTTGCCACCAAGTACTAAGTAATGTTTTCCAGAGGGGTCAAATACGTATTTCCCTCATTAAAATGCAAATCAATTTATAACATTTTTGACATGCGTTTTTCTGGATTTTCTTGTTGTTATTCTGTCTCTCACTGTTCAAATCAACCTACCATTAAAATTATAGACTGATCATGTCTTTGTCAGTGGGCAAACGTACAAAATCAGCAGGGGATCAAATACTTTTTTCCCTCACTGTATCAGCCATGCATGTTCAATAAAGTAATGGTCTAATTTTATCCATTAGTTTGAGTGTACCCACCCACAACATTCCCAGGAATGTAGACAATGATGCGCATGAGAATGGACCCCACCCAGTACAGGCCGATGGCTCTGTAGCTCGCCCTGCAAAGACAGGCAACACACACATCACAACACACACAACACGCACATCACACAACACACACATCACACAACACACAACACATACATCACACATCGTAACTGTTGCTCCTTGTTGTAGCCCATAACTAAGACCTCTATGGGCTCTGGTCAAAATTAGTGCACTACAGTATATAACTTTCTCACTCATCATTATTCACCATTCACTCAGGATGATCCATAATCAGGGTAGCATCCACATTAATGTAGAAACATATTATATTCTTATTTACAATAAAAGTGACTCCAAAATGACACAATACATTATTTACCATTAATTTCTATTGGGCACAAAATAATCTGAAACACAACCAAAACAAACAGCAAATGCATCCAACAAATTTGTAAAGTCACAAGCTTGATGTAATCATTGCATGCTATGAATATAATAATAATAATAATAATAATAATATGCCATTTAGCAGACGCTTTTATCCAAAGCGACTTACAGTCATGCGTGCATACATTTTTGTGTATGGGTGGTCCCGGGGATCGAACCCACTACCTTGGCGTTACAAGCGCAATATGGGACCAAATAAGTGAATTTGTCCCAATACTTTTGGTCCCCTAAAATCGGTGGACTATGTACAAAAGGTACTGTAATTTCTAAACAGTTCACCCGATATGGATGAAAATACCCTCAAATTAAAGCTGGCAGTCTGCACTTTAACCTCATAGTCTTGTATCATTTCAAATCCAAATTGCTGGAGTACAGAGCCAAAACAACAACAAATGAGTCACTGTTCCAATACTTTTGGAGCTCACTGTATATAAATAATACGGCACCCCAAGTCATCATGTCTGATACTGACAGGAGTCATGTCTGTTAATGTGTGAGCATGAGCTAAAGGCTGAGACACCCTCATAATAAGGAGTTATTAAGGAGCTATTACCCCCAGTTCAGTACAGTTGAGTGGTATTTGCTATCAATGTAAATGTATGATTGTTTCAGCTTCCTTACCTTTAAAGTTTTTTTATAAACTGGGTGGTTCGAGCCTTGAATGCTGATTGGCTAACAGCTGTGGTATATCAGACTGTATACCACGGGTATGACACACATTTATTTTTACTGCTCTAATTACGTTGAAAACCAGTTTATAGTAGCAATAAGGCACCTCGGGGGTTTGTGGTATATGGCCAATATACCACGGCTAAGGGCTGTAACCAGGTACTCCGCGTTGCATCGTCCCTAAGAACAGCTGTTAGCCGTGGTATATTGGCCATATACCACACACCCTCAGGCTTAAATAGACTCCATTAAACTTACTTATATAGTCTTAACAGATTCCATTGAACTTACTTATACGGTCTTAACAGACTCACTTAAATGTTATTTTTCTAAACCTCTTTGGATGTGTCTCCTAAAACGGCTATAAAGTCAATGTAAAGCACATACCCCCAGGTTATAGCTGCAACCATGAGCAGGTACATGAGATAGTGGACACATCCATCCCAATAGGAGATCATGTGTCCATGGGCCGTGTTAATGTAGGGGTCTGCCTGTAATGAACATTATAAAGATATATTATTACAACACTGTTAAAGTCCGTTTTCATTGGGTTCTTCATTGCATGGGTCAGTTTTCAGTTTTCAGTTTTCAATTTGTATTCAATGGCACGGACTGTAGGCAGTGTGTGTGTGTGTGCATGCGTCCGTGTGTGTGTCCATCCGTGTGTGTGTGTCCATGCGTGCGTCCGTTCGTCCATGTGGGTCCTTCCGTCGGTCCGTGTGTGTGCCGTAGGGATGTTTACTTGCATTTTTTAGATAGAAGGTGATGAAACCATCGATGATACTGTCCTGCTCCAGACCAATGATCAGGTTTACCACACTCAGGAACGCATACACTGCAAACACTGGCAGAACAAGAGAACACTGAATAATACATTTCCATTTTACTTTTACTTATTTTAGTTATTCTAGTCATTTAGCAGACACTCTTACAATCAGTTCCTTCAATTAACAACCACATAACGAAATCATAGCAAGTAAAACCAAATAGAAAAGACAAGTCCAATGGCGAAGGTAGAGCCCAGTGTGGCTCAGTTGGTAGAGCATAGCGCTTGCAACGCCAGGTCCAGGATCCTGGGGGTTTTCGATGCCGGCTGGGGTCACACATATGAAAATGTATGCACACACTACTGTAAGTCGCTTTGGATATATATGGATAAATATAGTTCTGTATATATACACTACCGTTCAAAAGTTTGGGGTCACTTAGAAATGTCCTTGTTTTCTAAATAAAAGCAACTTTTTTGTCCATTAAAATAACATCAAATTGATCAGAAATACAGTGTAGACATTGTTAATGTTGTAAATGGCTATTGTAGCTGGAAACAGTTGATTTTTTATGGAATATCTACATAGGCGTACAGAGGCCCATTATCAGCAACCATCAGTCCTGGGTTCCAATGGCACGTTGTGTTTGCTAATCCAAGTTTATCATTTTAAAAGGCTTATCGATCATTAGAAAACCCTTTTGCAATTATGTTAGCACAGTTCAAAACTGTTGTGCTGATTAAAGAAGCAATAAAACTGGCCTTCTTGAGACTAGTTGAGTATCTGGAGCATCAGCAATTGTGGGTTCGATTACATGCTCAAAATTGCCAGAAACAAATTACTTTCTTCTGAAACTCATCAGTCTATTCTTGTTCTGAGAAATGAAGGCTATTCCATGCGAGAAATTGCCAAGAAACTGAAGATCTCGTACAACGCTGTGTACTACTCCCTTCACAGAACAGCGCAAACTGGCTCTAACCAGAATAGAAAGAGGTGTGGGAGGCCGCAGTGCACAACTGAGCAAGAGGACAAATACATTAGAGTGTCTAGTTTGAGAAACAGGCGCCTCACAGGTCCTCAACTGGCAGCTTCATTAAATAGTACCCGCAAAACACCAGTCTCAACGTCAACAGTGAAGAGGCGACTCCGGGATGCTGACCTTCTAGGCAGAGTTGCAAAGAAAAAGCCATATCTCAGACTGCCCATCTTAATCTTTTCTTTTTATTGGCCAGTCTGAGATATGGATTTTTCTTTGCAACTCTGCCTAGAAGGTCAGCATCCCGGAGTCGCCTCTTCACTGTTGAAGTTGAGACTGGTGTTTTGCGGGTACTAGGAAAACAGTGTAAACTCTTACCATAGAATAGAGGGTCTTTGGGTGCCCCCTTCTTGAATAAAAATAGTGCAGATATAGCCAAGATAAGAACAGTTGTAGATCCAGCGAAAAAGATTGTCTCAATGCTAGAAATAAAAAATCCTCAATTAATTAGGCCTAAACAGAAATAACCTACGCAGAATACAATCAACTAGGATACATATGACTAATGCCTTTAAACTAGATTGCATTCAAGACTGCATACAAAACTACTAGGCTATAGCATCATCCACTATCAAGCATTATAAGGTTTATTAACGGCTACAATCAAACACAAAACACATGAAAACAATATTATCTACAATATCCATACTCACCAGTTAGTGTAGATCAGAGAGTTGAAGAAAATTGAAATGGGTATTGATGTCAAGGACAAGATAAAAACTCCTGTCCCAGCAGACGCGTTCATTGCTCTATTTACACTGTCGACGCGCATAAATCATTCATAGTTTCTGAAAATAAAACACAACATTATATCTGTTAAAAATATTCGAACATGTTGCTCCACTCAGACCGTGTGATATAGTAAAATGTTCAGAGAACTAGGAAAACAAGGTGAAGTCTTCGCGTTCAGATAAGCTGTCTTCTTGCGCGCATGCTGCATGCAGTGTACTACTTTTCTGCCAGCATTCTGGGCACATCTCAATCGTCTTCCTCCTCGCCATCCCCTGTATTTGAACTGATCTGTAAAGGCAGGATAGATGAAATTGACAATGCAGAAGTCGGGTAACCTAGGCTTAGGCTATCTGCTTTTACCTGTCCAAGTGTCACAGGTCAGTGTGGATGAAGGGAAGGAAGCAACGAGAGGAAGCGACTGTACAGCATTGAGATATATCCCCTTTCCTATGGCGCTAAGGTTATGGCTGTCTGTTCTGACTGATGTCGTCGACGCGTGGTACCACAAGTGGAGTTCACATCCCTGAACATGACACGCGATTAAACGGGGTTTTAAACAGGATCGAGGTCCTTGCTATTAACATCATAGCACAAAAATAGGAAAGACAATACTTGGCGTATTTAATCACCCTATTAATATGTAGGCCCCTTTTTTAAGCAACTGTGAATTAACTAAGTAGTAGACTATAGCCTATGACTGATTGGAACATCTGCAAAGATCAGTGGTTCCCAACAAGGGGTACTAGGACCCCTAGGGGGTACTTAGTCTATCCACAGGGTGTACATGAGAATACTCATGGACCATAGATCTACTGCTAAAATGCACATGAGGGGGTACTTCAGGGGTACTCCTGGCAGAGCAACATTTTGTTGGTGGTACAGTAACCGAAAAAGATTGGGAACCACTGAGCAAAGTGATGATGAACGATATGACCATCTTGAATTTAGGCTATTTAAATGTCATAGGCCTACTCTATGTAGTACAATATACATCCACCAGACAACATATTAGTAGTCTGCGCTCCAGCAGGTATATCTCACTGGTCATCCCCAAAGCCAACACCTCCTTTGGCCGCCATTCCTTCCAGTTCTCTGCTGCCAATGACTGGAACGAACTGCAAAAATCTCTGAAGCTGGAGAATCTTATGTCCCTCACTAACTTTAAGCATCAGTTGTCAGAGCACCTTACTGATCACTGCACCTGTACACAGCCCATCTGAAATTAGCCCACCCAACTACCTCATCCCCATATTGTTATTTATTTTGCTCATTTGCACCCCAGTATCTCTATTTGCACATCATCTCTTGCACATCTATCATTCCAGTGTTAATACTAATTATAACTATTTTGCACTATGGCCTATTTATTGCCTTACCTCCATAACTTGCTACATTTGCACACACTGTATATATATTTTCTGTTGTATTTTTGACTTTATGTTTTGTTTTACCCCATATATAACTCTGTGTTGTTGTTTTTATCGCACTGCTTTGCTTTATCTTGGCCATGTCGCAGTTGTAAATGAGAATTTGTTCTCAACTGGCTTACCTGGTTAAATAAAGGTTAAATAAAAATAAATAAATAAATATTTCCATGGCCTACAATTATTAATTTTTTCAAAGACAAGCGGGACCTCAAGAGTTAACCAACTCTGCAAACGGGTTTGGTATCTCATATATTTATATTTCAACAGGGAAGTAAGGTATGTTGGAAGCTTGTGGAGCAGAGCTTTGTAAACAAGAAGGGAGTAATGAAGTGATCTACGGGATTTTAGTGAGGTCCAGCCAACCTTCTGATAAAGGATGGAGTGTTGAGTATTAAAACTGTAATAAAGCGAAGGGCGCTATGGTAAACAGCATCCAAAGGTTTAAGATTAAGAGCAGTGGCTGCAATCTGGTAAATGGTGTCACCATAGTCAAGAACTGGCAGGAAAGTTGACTGTACAATCTGCTTCCTGCTGTTCATGGAGAGGCAAAATCTATTTTTTTAAAAAGAGCCCTACTTTAAATCTTAGCTTTTTAACTAGCTCATCAGTATGTTTTTAAACGTTAGATCTTTATCAAGCCAAAGCCCAGATATTAATAGACAGGAAAGGAACCTGCTCGAAAAGAGAGCCATCCAATGAGTGAATATGTAGCACATCTGAGACATTTTTCAGTGAATTAGAGAACAACGTATATTTCATTTTGCCTGCATTAAGTACAAGTTTTGAATCAACAAGGGCTTTCTGTAATGCAACTAAATCAGATTGCAGCTCTAACATAGCTTGGTCAACAGTCGGTGGAATGGCATACATAACCATATCGTCTGCATACAGATTGATATTACAGGATTTAATACATATACCAATATTATTTATATAAACAGTCAAAAGAACAGGTCCCAATACTGACCCCTGCTGTTGAAGAAACTAGACTTGACACCATCACAAAGCACACATTGTGTCCTGTCTGTCAGATCACTCTTAAACCATTTGAAAGATTTATTGTCCAGGCTATCTCAGACCGTTTTTGAATGAGTAGGGAATTCTAAAAATTCTAAAAAATTAATAACGGAAAAGTGGTGCGTGCATATGTATTCACCCCCTTTGCTATGAAGCCCCTAAATAAGATCTGGTGCAACCAATTACCTTCAGATGTCACATAATTAGTTAAATAAAGTCCACCTGTGTGCAATCTAAGTGTCACATGATCTCAGTATATATACACCTGTTCTGAAAGGCCCCAGAGTTTGCAACACCACTAAGCAAGGGGCACCACCAAGCAAGCGGCACAATGAAGACCAAGGAGCTCTCCAAACAGGTCAGGGACAAAGTTGTGGAGAAGTACCGATCAAGGCAAGGAGGGCATTAGTTAGAGAGGCAACAAAGAGACCAAAGACAACCCTGAAGGAGCTGCAAAGCTCCACAGCGGAGATTGGAGTATCTGTCCATCGGACCACTTTAAGCCATACACTCCACAGAGCTGGGCTTTACGGAAGAGTGGCCAGAAAAAAAGCCATTGCTTAAAGAAAAAAATAAGCAAACATGTTTGGTATTTGCCAAAAGGCATGTGGGAGACTCCCCAAACATTTGGAAGAAGGTACTCTGGTCAGATGAGACTAAAATTGAGCTTTTTGGTCATCAAGGAAAATGTCTGGCGCAAACCCAACACCTTTCATCATCCCAAGAACACCATCCCCACTGTGAAGCATGGCGGTGGCAGCATCATGCTGTGGGGATGTTTTTCATCGGCAGGGACTGGGAAACTGGTCAGAATTGAAGGAATGATGGATGGCGCTAAATACAGGGAAATTCTTGAGTGAAACCTGTTTCAGTCTTCCAGAGATTTGAGACTGGGACGGAGGTTCACCTTCCAGCAGGACAATGACCCTAAGCATACCGCTAAAGCAACACTTGAGTGGTTTAAGGGTGTTACGAGAATTTCTATCCCAATGTTTCAAAAATGAACTTATTACTCAGTCTGTATCCCAGAGGTTGTAATCTCTAATAATCAGACCAAGCAGCCCAGCATACAATCATCAGGCTTTATTCATAAGAACGTTCTGAAACAAAATAGTCATACAATATTTTTATATGCACACGTCAGAGGAAAAATCCCACCCCGCCTTAGGCAGCCTGTAGTTTTCCACTAGAAAACTTATCTCCTGACCATCAGGTCACACACACACACACACACACATATACATGTTCTTATCATAGGCTGCATTCCTTAGTTATCGCCTGCTCACAATATCCTGCAAGCCTTTCACTCCCCTTTCCCTGTGTGTTTTGGGAACCAGTCTATACTCTTGCTGGGATATAAACACATTTGATTAATTCTCTAAACTCTAGTCTACTAATTAGTCATACATTATTAGTTTAGATGAGGGTGTGACATTTTAGTCATATCTCACTCACACATTTCTTTATCAAAGGGGAAACATTTAAATGTCTTGGAATGGCCTAGTCAAAGCCCAGACCTCAATCCAATTGAGAATCTGTGGTATGACTTAAAGATTGCTGTACACCAGCAGAACCCATCCAACTTGAAGGAGCTGGAGCAGTTTTGCCTTGAAGAATGGGCAAAAATCCCAGTGGCTAGATGTGCCAAGCTTATAGAGACATACCCCAAGAGACTTGCAGCTGTAATTGCTACAAAAGGTGGCTCTACAAAGTATTGACTTTGGGTGGGTGGGGGGGGGGGGGGGGGGGGGGGGGGGGGGGTTATGCACGCTCAAGTTTTCTGTTTTATTTTAGTCTTATTTCTTGTTTGTTTCACACAACAAAATATTTTGCATCTTGAAAGTGGTAGGCATGTTGTGTAAATCAAATGATACAAACCCCCCAAAAATACATTTTAATTCCAGGTTGTAAGGCAACAAAATAGGAAAAATGCCAAGGGGGGTGAATACTTACTTGCAAGCCACTCCCTATTGTTATTTTATTTTACTTTAATTATGTGCTATTTTTTATTTTGTACTTATCTATTTTTTACTTAACACTTTGTTTTTTTCTTTCTTAAAAACTGCATTGTTGGTTAAGGGCTTGTAAGTAAGCATTTCACTGTAAGGTCTACACCTGTTGTATTCGGCGCATGTGGCAAATACATTTTGATTTGATTTGATTTGAAACAGCGCTATCTCCAGATCTAAAACCAGACTGGTGCATATTTAGAATAGAGTGAGATGTTAAAAAAGTTTGTAGCTGGGAGTTGGTCAGGGATTCTAGTACCATGGCTAGTCAAGATAACTTGGAGACTGGGCGGTAATTATCTAAGTCAGAAGGATCTGCCTTTATGTAGGGGGAGAACATGTGCCGCTTTCCAAATCTTAGGGATAACACCAGTAGCAATTGTCAAGTTAAAAAAGTTTTTACTGGCACTGCAGAATGCAATATAGGTCTGCTAATACAGGACTATTCAAGGCCCAGTGCACTACTTTTGTGAAAAAGTATTTTTTGTAATATTCATCTATATATATATTTTTTTTAAATTATTATTATTATTATTATTATTCAGATTTTTCAGGGGAAGCTGCAGCACCCTCAGCACCCCTACCTTCCGCGACTATGGACAGAGAGCTGTAATAAGAAGGGGTCAAGTGAATCAGTCCCTGTGGATTTTTTTTTACATCGATCTTTAGCAAGGCACTTAATACATCGTAGACATCAAATAGTTGAAGTAAACAAAAGTATGTGAGTCTGTTAGAGCATTATTCTCTACAATCTGTTGAGGTGACTAAAGGACTCCCTTTTTCAGAGACTATCCTTTCAAGCAGGTGGCCAGCGGAAGCCAAAACGCTTATTAAAGCACTACAATTTTACATTTAGTCTAGTATGGGACCAGAGGCTGTCAAAACCTGCTGGGACAAGGAAGGGGTGGAGCTTTGTTTCACAGATTTGACCATTTTCCAGAAGTTAGCTGGAAAGTATTAACAAAAAAAACGAGTATATAAACGATTCAAGAATGCTTGGCTTGTTGCAAAGCAGCTTTGCTCTGCGCATTCGGATTCTGTGGAAATTATTAACTGTGTGTTGTTGTGTCTAATATGCATGGTCCAGACTGATTTATGGTCCAGACAGATTTATGGTCATTCCCAAATAAAGGTATTCAGCGATGCTGCCTGCTTGACGTGACACCACAAAACAGTGCCGCCTAATGGGTTAAAAGAAAACAACAACAAAGATTCACAGGAAGAGACGTAAACCGCGGAAGTGTGCGTCATTCCTGGAAAGCAGTAACAAACGCTGGCCCATTCGTCTGTGAAAAAATCGCAATAAAACGCAAATATGTGTAATTGATATTTTCCACCATTATCAATCGTAAAAGACGATAAGGACAACGGTACAAATGGCGACTGGGGGTGGTGGCAGCGGCCCACCGTCCAATCTTGAAGGAAGAGCATCCAATTTCGCGCATTCTGGAGCGGGAAGAAATGCTGGAGCGGCCTCGAATATGCCAGTCCCCGTGGTCGCAGCACCAATCTCCCCCCCGTCGGGGGGCCTTCACCGGGAGCCTATGTACAACTGGCAGGCCACAAAGAGCTCGGTAAAAGAGCGCTTCGCGTTTCTCTTCAATAACGAACTGCTCAGCGACGTTAGGTTTATTGTCGGTAAAGGTAGACAGGCGCAGAGGATACCAGCGCATAAATTCGTCCTAGCTGCTGGTAGTGCAGTATTTGACGCCAATGTTCAACGGGGGAATGGCCACCACCTCGGCCGAGATAGAGTTACCTGATGTGGAACCTGCAGCCTTCCTAGCCTTGCTAAGGTAACGTCTATTGACCGATCATGCAGTGCACTGCGATATAATATATTTATAGAGAGGTGTTGTTGTTGTTACCTAACTAGCTATATTTGTTGCTCTTATGTTATGAGTTCTGACATTGCATTTTCTGTATGTGAGTTGATGAAACTGATATAAACAAGGCTCCTGGCTGAGCTATGGCTACCGCTTCCTCATTCTAAATCTATTGTCCAGATTCCTTAACCATTTTTTACAAAACAGGCTAGTAATAAAAATACTTCACATGATAATTACCAACAGGTAAAAACATTTTTTGCTCTTCTATATGCAATGTCAAGCATTTGTTTTAGAAGACAGACATTTGGTGTTCTGGAAGCCAGTCCCCCCACCTTCTTTGACCACTTACTTTGTGTGTGTGTGTCCCTGCAGGTTCCTGTACTCTGACGAGGTCCACATAGGACCAGAGACGGTGATGACCACTCTGTATACAGCGAAGAAATATGCCGTCCCTGCTCTGGAGACCCAGTGTGTGGAGTTCCTTACCAAACACCTCAGGGCAGACAACGCGTTCATGCTACTCACTCAGGTATATAAGACTGGTAATATAACTCCTATTGCATAAACTATTCTACATAATACTACTATTCACTCAGGAAGTATAATGATGGATAATCATAACTAGCCTAGAGGCTATGCTTCTCACTCAAAGAATATAAGATTGATGATGTAGGCTGATATCAAATAACCTAACCTGCCATATGCTTTTCACTCAGCATATAATGTAGGATACACTGGCCAGTGTAAATAAAATCCTCATGTGGGTACTAAATAATATGTGAGCTCTGCTCTAAATAGAATAAACTACTGTAGTTCATCACATAGAAAGAATAGCCAGGATGGTGTCTCTGCCAATTCCTCTTGAGTAACAATTCAGAACAGGGTGTACAAAACCCCCAAAACTAAGCCATGACCGAAGATAATACACTGGCCTAGATGACTTGGGTAGTACTACAGAATAAACCAGCCTAAACACACTTCACTCTGTTCATGTCCACTGTCCTAAGTATTTTCATAGGCCAATGTGCTTCCAAAACATCAAAATAAAATATATATTCAAGAGATCTCGTTTCCTATTTTTGTCCTATTGAGCGAGCAAGTTTGATCCTAGAATGTTGTATATCAAGTTATGCTTTTATCAAATCAATTGGACATTCCCAGGGTGCTACTTGAACAGACAATTTCCCCATGTGTCTCATGCTGATGTGTCATCTTGTACCGTGCTCATTCTTTCTGCAGGCCAGACTATTCGATGAGCCTCAGCTTGCCAGCCTCTGTTTGGAAACGATAGACAAAAGCACCGGTGATGCCATAAACGCAGAAGGATTCACTGACATTGACCTAGGTATACATGAGTATGGGTTATTATTCACACAGGAACAAATCCCAATGATATACAGTGGATGATTTGGGTAAACGGTGGGGGTTAGCCTTCATGCGTGCTTCTGAAGTAGTCAACTGGGTGGGACTTGCTATGAGTTAAGGAAGAAGAACAGAATTCCTTCCAGGTCATCAGGAGGGGTCAGCAAATGAATTAAACTCCTGAGCAAACATTCCATAACTGCAGGTGGTAGTAGCTACATCAACAAGCGTGGCTTTATACCTGTTCAGACCTATACACACTCAGTACAGTAGGTGGTGCTATGCACCTTTTCAGTTAATTTATGAACCGCCAATACACTCATGGTATTTGGTGTTTTATTAGGATCCCATCATAGAGGTAGTAGAAGAAATTGACTACTTGTTTCTGGGTGCATTCAGGAGACAATCAAGTTGAACCTTTGACCCTAACTCCTTCCCTTTTTGTCATACTGTGTAGACTAGGCCTAACGCTGAACCTGTGTTTTTAGATACGCTGTGTGCGGTGCTGGAGAGAGACACCCTGGGGATTCGCGAGAACCGTCTGTTTGGTGCGGTGGTGCGCTGGGCGGACGCCGAGTGTTACAGGCAACAGCTTCCCCTCACCTCTGAGAACAAACAGAAGGTTCTGGGCAAGGCCCTAACCCTCATCCGCTTCCCACTCATGACTGTGGAGGAGTTTGCCGCAGGTGGGCATCTCTCTGTCTGGGACATAAACACAGAGACGGATGCACGTAAACAGAAAGACACAAACACACACACTGTATCTACATTAGTAGTTTAAAATTTGAAATAAGTAAGGACTCTGCTTTGTCAGATTTCACATAGCCTAAATGTTATTACTTTTTAATATGAGTAAGCACTGCTTTTCATCAAGCTCATTCTTGTAGAATGTAAATACTTGAAAATACTTGTAACCTAGAATTCCTATAGAACATAGAACGGTGTATAATCATTTTATAAATGTGTTGTGTGTTTCTGCTGTCCAAAGAATCCAGCCCTAGAAACCAGTTTGATATTCATTCTTGTGCAACAGGGCCTGCCCAGTCTGAAACCAGTTTGATATGTTTTCTTGTGCAACAGGGCCTGCCCAGTCTGAAACCAGTTTGATATGTTTTCTTGTGCAACAGGGCCTGCCCAGTCTGAAACCAGTTTGATATTCATTCTTGTGCAACAGGGCCTGCCCAGTCTGAAACCAGTTTGATATTCATTCTTGTGCAACAGGGCCTGCCCAGTCTGAAACCAGTTTGATATTCATTCTTGTGCAACAGGGCCTGCCCAGTCTGAAACCAGTTTGATATGTTTTCTTGTGCAACAGGGCCTGCCCAGTCTGAAACCAGTTTGATATTTTTTCTTGTGCAACAGGGCCTGCCCAGTCTGAAACCAGTTTGATATGTTTTCTTGTGCAACAGGGCCTGCCCAGTCTGAAACCAGTTTGATATGTTTTCTTGTGCAACAGGGCCTGCCCAGTCTGGAATATTGTTGGATCGGGAGGTGGTAAATCTGTTTTTACACTTTACAGTAAACCCCAAGCCGCGGGTAGACTACATTGACAGGCCCCGCTGCTGCCTCCGCGGAAAGGAGGGCAGCGTTAGTAGGTTCCAGCAGGTTGAAAGTCGCTGGGGATACAGTGGCACCAGTGACAGGATCAGGTGAGACGGTGTACTTGCTTCTCTAAACTGTGACAATGTCCTACTGGCCCCACAAACTATAGAGACTAAAAGCCCTTGCACAGAAATGTTTTTTATTTTCTCATCTGGAAAAGTTAGCATGCAAAAAACCTGCCTCTTATTTTTTACGTGCAAATTATTCAGATGGAAAAACCGGACTTGGTATGAAAAGATAAACTAATTCTATGCTACAAACCAACACAGATGATGGTGTGTCAAAAGCAGCTGCAGTACAACTCTGGTTTATCATTTAATAACATATAAGCCTTTTTCTACAGACCTCGGTGTAGAGGAACACTTATGAGCGGCAGGTGGCCTAGTGGTTAGTGTTGGGCCAGTAATGGAAAGGTTGCTGGTTCAAAACCCAGAGCCGACAAGGCTCTGTCGATGTGCCCTTGAGGAAAGCACTTAACCTTAATTGCTCCTGTAAGTCGCTCTGTAGAAGAGCGTATGCTAAACGACAATTCATGTAAAAAAATTTATAATAATAAATGAGTTCAACATATTTGAGGAGGGGGTTTGCTTCTGGCAGAGCCATAAAAAAACTGCTGCCTCACTGTTTTACAGTGGTGGAACATTTGAATGCAAATCAACACCCCAAAAAAGTTTTGAGATGGTTGTTATTCTATTGCAAGGTATGCTGTTAAAGGAGTCAACCAATTGAATTTGAGTGATGGTCTTTCTCCAGCCTCATACCTCTTCACCACACCCCCATTGGTGGAGACTCTATTGCATGTGTTTTAATAAAGGCAGTGTTAGTTTGTTTGAGGTTTCTAAAAGTATCTTGTCATTTCCATCTCCTGCAGATTTAATGTAAATAGAAGAATATCAGTAGTGGGGTTTGGACTGTATGGGTCGATCCACGGACCTACGGACTATCAGGTTAATATACAGGTACGCATTTAATCGTTCATTGATTTAATAAGGATGTGGTAATGAATGATGTTATATCTCCTGTGCTATCAGCCTGGTAGCCAGATGAAATGTGTCCTGTTAGTGCTTCAGCCTCACAACAACTTCTCCAATGTTCCTTACTGCGTATGAAGCACTAAGAGATCTGGTTACCAGGGTCGCCTTGAGTAGGGCACATAGTAACAAAATGTTTTGCAATGAAAAACCAAAAACCTGGGTTATTGGACAAGTTCAGGTAGTACCTTTCCGTTTCAAAACGTTTTTTACCCGGTTTGAACACGATCCAGGTCATTATAGTGAATTTGTTCAGAAAAGCTTTAAAAAATAATCGATATATATATTTTTTTAAGCTATAGTGCAAACAGTAATTGACTAATTGTTTCTGTCGTTTTCTGCAGATTATTGAGAGTGACAAAAGCCTAACACTAGCAACAAACGACACAGGCTTTAGCTGTGACGGAACAGCCAACACATTCAGAGTCATGTTCAAGGAGCCTGTGGAGATTTTACCCAACGTTAGCTACACCGCTTGTGCAACCTTAAAGGTACGCTCACCCCACAACGACAGAAGCTGTGATACTGAGTACTCAAATGCATGTTTACAAACAAACAATAGGTTATTGTGTTTTCTTTTTATGAATTTGAACTTTGCCTCTGCTGCTAACAGCAGCATGTTTATTATAGACATTGAATCAAATGTTGTTATTGCAAACTAGTTTTGGTTGGTATTCTACTAGATTATCAACCCTGTGTGACCACAGTTGAGAATTTGTAATGAACATTTAATTGTCATCTCATCTTAAAGGGATTGTTCACACAAAACAAAACTATAAACAAATATTCCACTGTTAATACAATCCCCAAAATCTTTGTCAAGCTTTCAAGGTGTAGCACTTTCAGTACAGAGCAAAAACGGTGAGTTTCTCCATCATAACAATCCACGTGCCTTCTGTAGGGCCCGGACTCTCACTATGGCACTAAAGGGTTCAAGAAAGTGAGCCAGGAGTCCGCCACGGGGACCAAGACCACCTTTTTCTTTTTCAGTTCTCCTGGGAACAACAACGGCACGTCGGTGGAGGACGGACAGATCCCGGAGATCATCTACTACACCTAGACAACGCCTCACCACACCTGGGTCCTGTTCAGTTGGGCCAAAACGTTTAGAAACTGGGGCGGTCCTACCCGGACTCGTTCATTTTGGTTTCCGTTGCAACTCTTTACAAAAAAAATATTTTCGTTGCTTGCACTATTAAACACGACTCCCTAGTAAACACGACTGGGTTGTGTTCAGTAGGCAAACTTGGAACGTTGCAGCTAGAAATGTCACGAATAGAGATGACGTGATGCCTTATTCTCATTGCGGCATGTTTGTTCTAGATGTATTTCTATCTAAACGTTCCACAACGTTGTGCCCTGCTGAACAATGCCCTGGATCAGGTAGACACCATCTACCACACCTAAACCAGGGGGGCCATGTTCAGTAGGCATAGAATGGAGGAAAACGGAGTGTGACAGGGAGGTACTACCTGAGCTTGTCAAATAAGAAGCACTTATTTACATTTTCCGTTGTGAAATGTTTTGCAAGGGTGTGCTCTAATGAGCATGACCTGTGCGGTCGGGTAGGCCTGAGAGTGGAATGGAATGGCAGACCTTCAGGAAGGATTGTAGCCTGGTCCCAGATCTTTCTGTGCTCTTGCTGAGTCCATTGCCATTGTTGTCCAAGACGATTCCATAAGGAGTAGGCAAGAGGGCAGAAACAGACCAGCACCCAGGCTAGAGGGATTGTGCCTTCTGCTGTTCAGGAACGGATACAAAGACTTTTGGAAACCAAAAGGAGTGGAGTGTAGGCCTACTCTGCTGGTTTGTGAACTGGGGTGTGCGAGGCCAGTGGAGGCTGGTGGGAGGAGCTATAGGACGGGCTCATTGTAATGGCTGGAATGGAATAAATGGTACGGAGTCATATGTGGTTTCCATATGTTTGATACCTTCATTTATTCCATTCCAGCCATTACAATGAGCCTGTCCTATAGCTCCTCCCACCAGCCTCCATTGTGCGAGACATATTTGACGTAATAGAACTGGAACTCAAAATGGATTGATACTGAGACATGTAGAGATGCATAATAGGACTGGACTGGCTGGAATCTGGGTGAAGGTAGACAATGACACATCAGTTGTAAATGTTCTATGTTCTACTTCAGTGGAGGCTGCTGAGGGGAGGACGGCTCATAATAATGGCTAGAACGGAAACCATGTATTTGATACCATTCCACTGATTCCAGTCCAGCCATTACCACGAGCCCGTCCTCCCTGATTAAGGTGCCACCAACCTCCTGTGTTCTACTGGCTATCTGTGGTCCGTACCTTCATCAGGGAATCACCGACTACAGTGGTGTCGTCTGGAGTGTATTCAATAGACACCAAACAGAAGAGAACGGACCGAAACGGGAAAGGACTACCTGAACTTGTCCGATAACAAACTAGTTTTCATTGCAAAACGTTTAACTATGGTGTGCACTTATGAATACACCCCATGTAGTGTAAAATCGCAGAGAGTGCCCTTCACTGATCGATCAACGTAATTTCGTAGTTTGAATGCTGGCGTGGTAAAAGTTCCACTGTTATCGTGCACTACCTTTATCATTTTTATTTGCAGGTGGAATTTTTCATGTGCAAATAAAATCTTAACTAGTGACGTCTGAGTATTTGTGCATATGTGAAAGTTTGCCTATGTACGTGACATGCTTTAATTTGTTACCTTGTTTCCTTGGCATGTCATATAAGAGTAAGACAGGAGAATATAGTGACTGTTATTTGTTGAAACGAGCAGAAATGTATATTTTTAGCTTTTGGCAATAAAGTATGTTGACACCAATGATTGATTTGTTTGATACTTTCTGAAATGATTCGGTATAGTGTGTCATTAAAGCTACAGTCTGTGATCAGTGAAGCTGTTCAACAATACATAACAGATTTGATGCTCTCAAACACACCCATAATCTGGGAAACTGTTCAACAATACATCACAGATTTGATGCTCACAAACACAGCCATAATCTGGGAAACTGGTCAACAATACATTACAGATTTGATGCTCTTAAACAAGGCCATAATGTAGGAATATACAGAAAGATGGGGGAAACGGCAAGGTAACAAGAAGTTGTAATACTACACTAGTTCCTATCGGGGGAGCTCCAAGTTAAATCAATGGAGCTCCAACTTCAAGCCTGGTCCTAAGGACCCTGGACCCACTGGCTATGCAGTAGGCTATTGTTCCATCCCAGCATTAACACTTGATTCAACCAACCAAAGGCTTTGATTAATAGCTGATTAGCTGAATCAAGTGTTGTGCTTATAGGCATACTTTTAAATAGCTTTGTATCTGCATAAGGTACAGATCTAAAATCAACCACCGAGTCCTCTGGCCTCTTGTCCATGCTATGGTAATATGGTTTTTCAAATGTCCACTTGTTTGATTTTATACAATATCAAAGGTAATATACATCAGATAACATGCTAGACAAGTTGACCTGCCTTGTAGGTAATGGAGGACAGAGAAAGGGATATGCTTGTTTTTTTTGTTTCATATGCTGAATTGCTTGGGTTGCTTGCTAGACTGTCGAAGATGCAGCAGCAGTTTTTTTTGTTATCTGCGGAAGGCCACTCCGCAAAGGACATTGGCCTGTGAGAGAAAAATAAAGTAATTACATCACTGTTACTTCAGCCATACTTTACTGTGAATAAATAGGTGTTTAATTGTCAAGCTCAGGAAATAATCTTTTTGAAATAGATATATTTTGTGTGAAAAAGATTTTGCCAAACGGTGTAAACATTGGTAGTATTTCCGAGAATCATACCTGGGGCTGGGTTTGAGAGGTTTTCCCTGGGCTGGTGATTTTTTTTCCCCATTCCACCATGCTGAATTCTCTGAATCTGCAGAGAAAAAACATCTTACTAGCCCTCCCTCACTGTCTCTTACAAACATCTAAACACAACATACAGTGGGGAGAACAAGTATTTGATACATTGCCGATTTTGCAGGTTTTCCTACTTACAAAGCATGTAGAGGTCTGTAATTTTTTATCATAGGTACACTTCAACTGCGAGAGACGGAATCTAAAACAAAAATCCAGAAAATCACATTGTATGATTTTTAAGTAATTCATTTGCATTTTATTGCATGACATAAGTATTTGATACATCAGAAAAGCAGAACTTAATATTTGGTACAGAAACCTTTGTTTGCAATTACAGAGATCATACGTTTCCTGTAGGTCTTGACCAGGTTTGCACACACTGCAGCAGGGATTTTGGCCCACTCCTCCATACAGACCTTCTCCAGATCCTTCAGGTTTCGGGGCTGTCGCTGGGCAATACGGACTTTCAGCTCCCTCCAAATATTTTCTATTGGGTTCAGGTCTGGAGACTGGCTAGGCCACTCCAGGACCTTGAGATGCTTCTTACGGAGCCACTCCTTAGTTGCCCTGGCTGTGTGTTTCGGGTCGTTGTCATGCTGGAAGACCCAGCCACGACCCGTCTTCAATGCTCTTACTGAGGGAAGGAGGTTGTTGGCCAAGATCTCGCGATACATGGCCCCATCCATCCTCCCCTCAATACGTTGCAGTCGTCCTGTCCCCTTTGCAGAAAAGCATCCCCAAAAAAGTGTGTTTCCACCTCCATTCTTCACGGTTGGGATGGTGTTCTTGGGGTTGTACTCATCCTTCTTCTTCCTCCAAACACGGCGAGTGGAGTTTAGACCAAAAAGCTCTATTTTTGTCTCATCAGACAACATGACCTTCTCCCATTCCTCCTCTGGATCTTCCAGATGGTCATTGGCAAACTTCAGACGGGCCTGGACATGCGCTGGCTTGAGCAGGGGGACCTTGCGTGCGCTGCAGGATTTTTATCCATGACGGCGTAGTGTGTTACTAATGGTTTTCTTTAAGACTGTGGTCCCAGCTCTCTTCAGGTCATTGACCAGGTCCTGTCATGTAGTTCTGGGCTGATCCCTCACCTTCCTCATGATCATTAATGCCCCACGAGGTGAGATCTTGCATGGAGCCCCAGACCGAGGGTGATTGACCGTCATCTTGAACTTCTTCCATTTTCTAATAATTGCGCCAACAATTGTTGCCTTCTCACCAAGCTGCTTGCCTATTGTCCTGTAGCCCATCCCAGCCTTGTGCAGGTCTACAATTTTATCCCTGATGTCCTTACACAGCTCTCTGGTCTTGGCCATTGTGGAGAGGTTGGAGTCTGTTTGATTGAGTGTGTGGACAGGTGTCTTTTATACAGGTAACGAGTTCAAACAGGTGCAGTTAATACAGGTAATGAGTGGAGAACAGGAGGGCTTCTTAAAGAAAAACTAACAGGTCTGTGAGAGCCGGAATTCTTACTTGTTGGTAGGTGATCAAATACTTATGTCATGCAACAAAATGCAAATGAATTACTTAAAAATCATACAATGTGATTTTCTGGATTTTTGTTTTAGATTCCGTCTCTCACAGTTGAAGTGTACCTATGATAAAAATTACAGACCTCTACATGCTTTGTAAGTAGGAAAACCTGCAAAATCGGCAGTGTATCAAATACTTGTTCTCCCCACTGTAGCTCTTGAATAAGGCAGATAAGTAATAGTTATAGTAGACTTATTCCAGGCAGCTATTGTTGAATAGTAAATATAAATATCCATATTTTACAAACGAATTGTCCCACTACATGGACAGTAGCAGAGGTCAGTAGCAGTATACCTATTGAAGACAAATGTCCATAGACAAACTACTTCTTATCTGATTCAAATTATGAAACCACCAAAAGCCAACAACTTTTGTCCTTCCTAATGAATATTCAGTGTGCTATCTCTGAATAAGTTCGCACTTTGGTTGAACAGTGATTTCCTGAATAGCTATTTTGAAACAGATGTGTGCGCATGAGGGGTTTGTGATAAGTCTCCAAAGACTATTAAAAGCAATAACCAAATGTAGGAAGTTATGTATGCCTATTTCTGACCTTTTGTTTGCACTTGTTATATTCAGAAGACAATAAAAACCACATATGGTTTGAAAGATGATTATGCATGAGGTAATTAGCCTTTGTATACTTTTTTCATCAAATGCGCAGAAATCCAAATGAGAATATTAGTAGAGAATGTTGGCTATCCATAACTGATCCATATCCAGATACAGAATAAATCGAAAGCTCCTCTCTGTGCATGGACACATGGGGACCGCCTGGCTGGCATTCTCCTCGCCCATTTCTCACATTATTATTTACCTGGCATGGATCTTCTTGACTTTCAGAATAGCCTTTACTTATTTTTCCGGGGCTGAGAGTCAGGGGGGATTTTTCAAGCAATTTCTGCTCTGTGGAGAATGCCAGCCAGGCATGTGTCCATGCACAGAGAGGAGCTTTCGACCTTACACCCTCCAACAGGTCAGGGATTTAACTTGTCCTGTCTGTGAGTGGCACAGAATTACAGGCTTG